GATCGATACTTCCATTCGTTGTCTATATAATGAATAGTGACCCCGTAGTAACTCCTACCAGCAACTGACGTCCATCCATCAATGGTAAATGTCATTTAAGATGAAAATTGTTGTAGTCGTTTCTTAAGATTCAATTGAAGCTCTTCAAACCGTTCTTTGACCTTCCTTCTAAGTGTGGACCTTTTAGGAAACACCATATTTGGGCAAATTGATCGAAAATATACTTATGTAGCTTCGTCATCGAAAAATGAGAAGGGAAGATATGTTTTAACCATCCAATCGACTGTAGCTGTCGTGATGTTGTCACTGCTATTTTCAGTCAGAAATAAAACAGTAAATCATGTGTCTCGCCGATTATAAAACAAATGAAAATATGAGTGAATTATAAATACATATTTAACATTATAATATATATATATATATATATATATATATATATATATATATATATATATATGAATACTAATCCGATATTATACGAAATCCTAACCCTAAGGGGGGTGAAATTGGGGTAAAATGGTTACATGCAAGTCCTATATTTTTAAAGTATAGATATGAAGATCGACATTTACTTTATTAGTTTTAAATAATAAATACTTGCATAGTTAAGCTTTACCTATATAGCCTCTTTATACTTAGGTAAGACTTTTGCAGCGAGAAAATTTCAAAATCTCGTAGGAAATCAGATATTATACGCGGGCGAAGTCGCAGGCGGCCGCTAGTTACATAATATATGTGTTATGTAATTGTGTGATAAGTATATTTTTTCTTACCTGTCCACTTTTTCCGGTGGTCGTTAAAAAAGCTTGTGATATCTCCACTTAATTTTGGTTTTTCAGGAAGAAATATTTGTGATTCCTTTTTGTGGAAAGATATTAGATGATTCCTTAAGCCTGAAATGTTTCTGTTTTTCATTTTTATTTCAACCTTTTTATGTTGGCATAATTTACACAAAGCAATTTGGGATGCATAAATTATGTCGAAAAACTAATCAAATTTACTTTTAGGTCTTTTAGATCTATAACTCCAACTCTCACTACTCCGACTAGAACTATTCGACTCTTCGTCACTCATGTCAAATTGTAAACTTATCACTCCGAGAACAACAAGGATTAGAGTAAAAACAATTAATACATTAGACTCGAAACAAAGCTCAATTGGGAATGACTGGAATTAAAATAAATACTACTATTTGTAAGCACACGCCGAAAGACCGACAAAGGAAAGTTCGGCATCCTTTGATAAAATTAATGATTCTTCAGAAGATTAATAAAGTAGATGCGTTGCCAAATAGGTATAGTGTGCCTACGTAAAAATGAAATGTAAATATCTAAATAAAATTGTGTATATTATGTTCTTCTTGTGATTGAATTAATCTACGTTTATTAAATTAAATTTGCCTTCACTCGTTTGAAATTCAAAATTCAAATATGTTTTATTCAAGTAGGCATTAAAAATACACTTTTGAATAGTCATATAATCACTGTTTTCCCCAATTTTTTCTTTTCCATGTCCAGGGGTTCTGATTCTACTGAGAAGAATCATGGAAGAAAGTAAGAAACTCAGTAGTTGCTGTTTTCAAAATATTTTTACAATAGTTCTATAATTATGTAAAGCGATAAGTCAAACATAAAATGTCAAATGTATATGTAGATACCAAATCGGTTTAGAAATTTCTAGTTAATCCTGTGTAGTACGAGAGGTCAGTTCCAAGCATTTTTGTTTGACTTAAATTGAAAAGGTGAAAGATCTAACATTTCTTTTGGAATCTTATAAAAGCGTATATCGCTACCCAAGAACGCATTATATACTTTGTGTAACCGGAAAGCAGGTATTGTGATTTAATTTTTATTTCTACTATTAAAATTGTGCAAATCACTATTATTTACATCAATTCGATGCAATCAATTTCTTTAAACGGTTCTCTAAGAGATACTCGGGCTCCTAAAAAGTACATAGATCTTATTTTACGCTTTTTTATTTAATATGCACACTTTTTATATTATTCGATTAGCATTGTACAAAATGTTTACACGTTTCAAGTGTGTTAAAAGTGTCTACAATATTTATCAAATGGGTGACGACATATTCGAACACTTTGTGTTCAAAAACACACACTTCCAAAAATCGAGATTTGCAGTGAACTTATTTAACATGTTTATCTATTAGGTAATAATAATAATAGTAAGTAATTATTATAAACCTATATAGTTAATATTATAATAATTACTTACTGGAATAAATTATTATGGTATCTACCTATCCTTACCATTATCTAATTACAATATTCCTTGCGAGATCAGCATAATGTATTCGTGTCCATTCTGAGCACCCGGAAACTTATTTTATTCTTTGGAACATGTACTCTGTGGCGGCATTCAAACAGTGTCAAATGTAATGCGTGCGGCGCGGCGGTGACGTTTGAATGCGATATCAATAGAAGCCGTCGGCGCGTGTATCTTGACCTTGTACTTCCGAATAGCTGCAAAATTTCTTTGACAGATCAGTATTCGACCTTTGATGATGACAACAAGACGCCGCGCACTATCAAAGTGCCGATGGTCAAAACTAGGGATGCACTGTTTTTTCTTTTAATTGATATTTTCATCCGCTATGTATGTTTATGGTATTGTTCGTAATGCGCATAAGTCCAATTTTCCAAATTTTTTTATATATTTTTTGCGTCTCATAGAGTCCCTAAGCGTATACCCGAACTCCTATACTCCCTGAAACGACACTCATTCCTAACTGCAAGACGCAAGAGTCTCGCAGGCTTAGTCTTGTTCTTGCTCAAATCTTGCATGGTCAGTCTTGGTCTTGGTCTTGCTAAAATTAGGCGGTCTTGTTCTTGGTCTTGGTCTTGCAAAAATGCAAGAACAAGACCAAGACTGCAAGACCAAGACCGATTTTGGGCAACACTATTGCAGTGACACGGGATGCGATGATAGCCTCGAGCGACCGCTGCGCCGTAGCTGAATTTGATTGTTGGAATGCTTTGTAGATATCTACGTACATAAAATAATAACGGAAAGCAAGATTGATTGTAAGTTTACTTGATTTGTGAAAATAATAGTTTAATTAGCGTAATATAGGGCTTAGCGAATGATTATGATATAGTGAATTGGCTATTAAGTGATAACTAATTTATTAGCGTGCATAAGCAGCTAACAGTGGATAGCGAGAAGTTAATTTACTTGCATTAAGAAGTTAAGCTCAAATTTTTGCGCAGCTATGTACAAAATACAAAATACAAACGTTTAAAGAAATAGGTTCAGCTATTTAAATTCTAACTATTCAACAGTGGGCACCAATTAATTACATGCTAGTAAAGACTTTCAAGTCGTAAATAGGTGCAATGAATGCAAATTATAGGCGGCTTGAAAAATAGCACTGGTTAACTAGCAAATGCTGCGGCGAAATAATAGTAAGAAATGATAGCCAATTAGCTGATAGGTAAGCAAATAAGTGTAAATAGGTGATTTTAATTCGTTGGGTATGTAGATTGTAGGTAGGTTTAACTAGGTAATTCTTTTAGGATTGGTTTAATAGGTATTTTATTTGGTAGGATTATTGAGTAGGAATAATAGTTTAGATTAGCAGTTTTATATGCGAAAGGGTATAGGATAGACAAGGAATGTAAAAGATGTTGCTTAAGAATGGGTAGGTTAGGTAAGGCAACAAAAATAGGATTAGACTCCTTGTTTCCCTGTTCACGCAAATAAACTATTATAGGAATAGTGGGACACGAAGATGTTAAATAACAGGAACGGGGTCACTAAGAGCTGGCAAAACCGCTGCTGTGGCGCGTAGACTCCGCTGGAGCTCAGCTTGGCCGGTTCTCAATAGCTGCCCTCTTGTCTTCTCCGCTTCAGATGAATTCTTCTCGACCGCTTCGTTGTTCTTAGGAACCGGGATGGTGCGCCGATTTAATAATCTTCGTAGGAGATGTAGTAGATCAGCGCGGCTTCTATTGTTGGTAGCTCGTGGTACTTGCGTTTGTGACGTTGTAAACGCGTTGTAAGTGCCACGCCCTTTGACCGTACTACGCAGCGGAATCGGAGTTCGTTATTTTAATTTATCACGGTCGCCACTATGTTCAATTAGGGAACATGAATAAAATAGGCGACTCACACGATAGGCAAATTGTTTATTTGAATAATCAAAATAAAAACTAATTTGGTGGTGATCGGGTCGAAGCTATCGACGAGTGACGGCCTTAGGCGCAGTGGTGAAAAAGCCCCCCGCGCTTCTCGTACTCCCCGCGAACAAAGTCGGTGCGACGTAACGGCGCCGACAAAACCCGTTTGGGACCCTGTAATTAAAAAAATTAAAACTATACCCAAGCATACTACTGCAGGACTTCTTGACACTGTAAGTTCATTCTACGTAGATCGGACCATAAATAATAATTAAAATCTGAAGATACTCCGGGTTAACACTGACATTGGGACGTCACTCACTCAGTCCCCCGTGACCATGACAGCGCCCGAAACGTCGGGAACTTAAAATCAAATGAATTAAACGCGATAAAATTACGAAACAGTAGTTGTAATCAATGTGTAGTGTTCGCGTAAATATAAGAAATCAAAAAGGAGCACGGTTTGTTTAAGTCAAGTTCAGGTTAATAATTCTAAATGGTTTATGGTATTAACCTCTTCAGGCTTTGCACCCATCTTCAAACACGCTTTATATATGATTGTGGCACGAATGGATCGGCTCGACCGGGGAAGGACCTTGCTCTAATAGAATAGCAGCGTAATGCTGCAGTATTTTGTATGATAAGTGTAAGGAACTGGAGTCCTTTTTTACTGGTAATGAGGAATTTTTTCTTAGTTCTTAAGTGTGACAACGCATCTAAATTTTCAATGTTAATCGACAGTAGACGTAGACGTTCATGAGCCACAGAATTAATTTACTATCAGGCTGTCTGTGTGGTCGTTCGTTACTTTATGTGTGTAGTATGTAGAATATAGCATTGAGTGTGCGTGTGCGTGCGGCAGGGCGGCGCGCGCGCGGCGCGTTACTGGGAGCAGGGCGCGGAGGCGCTGGCGCGGTGCGCGCGCAGCACGTCCGTGGCACGCGCGCTCTCCGCCCACGCGCCGCACAACCACTACCTCGCTGTCGGTCAGTGCCGCCAAATATCCCTCATAACATGACAGTCTTACAAAGAACGGCCCCTAGACATACGATCAAATATTTCGATTAGATTTATTTTATTTATTTATTTTCCACTATACAATTATCTTTACAGGTTTATCACCTAATGCGATAATGTAGACAACTATTTTACCAACTACAACTACACGGTTACAAGCTAATAATTTTCGATTACAGATATGTACTTATTGCTATTTCAAACACGTATCTATATCACATAAGGACCATAACTAATTTCAAACAGAGCTCTTACTATGAACCCACCCAGAGTACAACAAAATATATCTATGTCTTCTGCTATACGGTTGAGGATACGGAGGATATTGAGATGTTTTGATGACAGTTACAGTTAATCAAACCTTGCAAGATTCTTTACGTTAAATGATTGTCCAAAAATGATTTCTATTTTCAATTTAAATCAGTAATTTCAGAGATGTAAACATTACATTATTTATATTTCTGGTACGGTAGAGTATTCTCTACCGTCAATTGTGCAAGGGACAATCAAAGCAAATTTAATGACATACTTATAATAATAACAAACAGATCAGAGGCGCAGTGATTTACCAATGAATTACTGCGCTTGCTAATGAGGGCCGCGGTTTCAAACAAATTAAACGAAAGGAACAAGTATTTGTACGGCCTACAAATAATTGATCCGAGTCTAGATGTTTGTCCTTATAAAATTTGTGTATGTGAACTGCTTCACAATACAAGAGAAAATCCGAGTATAACGTTTTCATTAACGATTTTTTTAAATGAATATTAATAATAAATGGCTGCCAATCCGTGTGCCGGGTGAAAGTTAAGATAAAAAGCACCATATCAGACAATCTATGTGGCATGTGCTACGGACATGTGAACTTGTGATGAATCAAACAAAAATATTGAATAATAAAAAATATAACTTCATAGCAGGTATGTGTCTTCGCAAATTATCCAAAAAAGAAGATCCCTTAATATTTCGTTCAAACATTGTACAGTCAGGTCGCTTTATGTTTAAAAATTGACCCAATTAGCCTTCGATAGCTCAACTACCTGGCTGCACATGAATGGTAGGAAGAAGTATTGGACCATACTGACCCTAACTAAATTCCCTAGCAGTCTCTAATATCCTAGCCCTACCATATACATGTTTATACATAAATTAGATAAGTACAGGATGTCTCCACCGTGAGACCTAAGGTAACAGATGGACAGAGGCAGGATGTTAGAGTTACGTGATGGGGTTCTCTCACTGCCAGTCAAGCAGACTCACAAAACTGATCAGAGGTTCTGACGGCTAAAGGTGTCTTGGCAACAGTAAGAGGGTCTTATGTTATTAACAATCATTACAATTTATATGATTGCATTGATGTTAATATTTACGTCTTTTTTGAGATTATGGGTAAGGTTTGAAATTAAGTCGCCTGAATTAGGAGGGAGGTGGGGAAGTTATAAAATCCTCCCACTTTTTCCGCTTGCCGGACGTGCTTAGTTTTTTTGCAATTATTATGTTTTTGTGTATGTAAGAGTATGTCATGCAATTGCTTCGTCAATTGTTAACATTTTTGATTCTTTAAATATGTGTTTTGGTGTTGGTCCCGTATTAATAAAAAAAATCCATGCAGCTGGCGCGTGTGCACCCCTGTGGGCAGGCGCGAGGGTGCCTGGGAGTGTGGCGGGTGCTGGGGGCGCGGCGGGGGGTGCGCCGACACCCCGCGGAGGGCTGCCTGCGCTGGCGGCACTGCTGCCGTCGCTGCTGCGCGCGCTGGCCGCTGACTGGGCGCCGCCAGGTGCGTGCCCTCTCGCTCACTCTTATCTTACTATACTATACTTCACCAAATCTAAGAAATACCTTTTGAAGTATAAGATTAATAATTTATTTTCAGAAACTTTTATCTTAAATTTCATGTCGCACTTGTGGTTGAAAGTTGTCATATTAAATAAATTATTTGCTGTGAAAAAAAAAAACATAAACACTCACTCCTGTCACACAGAGGGGTAGGCAGAGACTACAGACTTCCATGGCACGATCCTGACACACATCTCTCGCCTCCTCCATATTCATATACCGACGCATACATGCTCGTCGGTTAAGGGTAGTCCTAATTTGGCCCATTTTCAATATATCGCCAATTTGGTCGATAAACTTTCGCCTAGGACGTCATTTCATTTCTTCCATTCACTTCTACAACATAAATTTGCATTCTCACTCTTTCCTCATTCATTCTTTCTACATGACCAAACCACCGAAGCATTCCTTTCTTAATCCTAGTCAAGCCATCATCTTGTAAACCACATTCTTCTTATATCACACAATTTCTCCCCTTGTCACTCAGATTCAGCCCTAACATACTTCTTAGCTTAGCATTTCCACTGCATTTATTCTACTCTCGTGCTTCTTCTGCCACACCCAACTTTCACTACCATACGTTAAAGTACTTACTTACTTACTTACTTACTTATCTTCACGCACAATCCCTAACGGGGTAGCCAGAGAGAACAGATCGCCAAGTGTCACGATCCTTACATACCTCTTTCGCTTCTTTCAGGTTCATTATCTTCTTCATACATGCACGTCTAGGTATCCGAGTACTCTTGACCTTCCCCTCTTCGAGTAATTTGCGTACTTACGTTAAAGTAGGGACTAATAAATCCATGCCATACCTGCCTTTTACTTGACACATTCTGACTTATCACAATAGAGTGTAGATTTACTTTATTTCCTGCGTTCACTCGTGGTGCTATATCCTTATTATATCTCCTATCCCTGCTGAATACACATCCCAAATATACAAACTCATCTACTTGCTCGACCAACTCCCCTTCTATTCTTATTTCACATATCGTTTTACTTTCTTCTCTTTCAAAAACCATAACTTTCATCTTACTTGCGTTCACTTTCATACGCCTTTCTTTTAAAGAACTGTTCATTAATGTAACCATCATTTGCAGCTCGGCTGCTGAATAACTTGATCATCGGCGTACAAAAGGCATTTGACGGTTAACTCACCCATTCTTAATCCGCATTCTTCAACTTTCAAATTTTGCAAACAACTGTCCATAAATGGGTTGAACAGCCACGGGGAAGCCACACAGCCCTGTCTGACACCTTTATGGATGTCAAACCAGTCCGAGTAGACCCCGTTGATCCTAACACAAGCACTAGAGTCCCTATAAAGAGACTTTAATCCCTGTATCAATCCAGCGCTGCAACACTGAATTCATTTGGGGTGACCAAATGAGTTCAGTGTTTGCTATATGTCCCTATCCACTCTGTCATAGGCCTTTTCCAAGTCCATGAACGCATACAAAATTCTTGGTTTTTGGCCTAAAACTTCTTACTTTGACTTGATCTGTACATTCCATTTCCTTTCTAAATCCCTTTTTAAAAGCAGGCTGTGAAATATTTTTAATTTCATTTGAAGGTTTCATTTCTATCGCGTGTGGATTGCATACATGTTTATTTTATTTTTATTAAAAGTTTATTTATATAAACTATCATTAATTTTTGAAAATGTGACAGGCTTGAGTGTTTATGTATTATTTGAATGTAATTTTTGAAAAAAAAAATTACATTCCAATTAATTTAAATAAATATATGCCAATATTTCTTTCTGTTTATGTTAAAAGTTTAGAAGTAATTATCCTAGATGGCGTTTGTTATATTTTGCATTACGTTCTCATTTGCTTTTTGTAATAAGCAATAAGTGAAACTGAAATAAATTTTTGTATGTTCACGGACACTGTTTAATTATTTGCCTAGATTAGCGCCGGATTCAGTATTAGTTAGTACATCGCGACGCGTGTTGGTGTGGAGGATATTTTGTGGAACACACAAGTAACTATGCGTGGACACAATCAAATAATCAAGTAGGATTGCAGTAATGTACAAAGTGATTCATAGTTTACCAGTAGTTTTGTGTTGTGTTACTAAACTCTGTCAGAGGAGACAATCGGTTTTCGGGTCCACTAGAAATTTTAACATAACTTTATTTTATTACCTGCGTGCTATCACTAACGCTGTTATTACACATAAAAAAGATACCAATTTACCATAGTAAACGGCCTAAATTTTTTATGAAAATCTAACCGGAATCATAAATTCTGTAAAAAAATAATGGTTTTGATATTCGTGTTCTGGGTAATATAATGTTTCGCTCCATAATTAATGCGTGATACATGGCGAGTTACTACCAGCGCTATCTAGTATCAAGTAGCAGAACTAGGAGAGCTTTCTAGAAAATTCCATACTAGAACTTTCTACACCTCGGGACCGATATGTACTCGAACATTCCAGACGTTTTAATAGTAAAGGCCAGTAAGGACCGCGACTTAGGCAGTATTAAATTGGCGATAGGAGCAAATACTTTGAAGCAGTATAACTGCGAACTAAAGTGATCAGTGTGATAAATTATCAGTGTGTTTTAAGTTGTAATTGGTGTTCGGCTAATAGTGTCAATTTTGGTAATTCAATCAGCAGTTTTTATTGTCACGAACCCTAACCTCGTAGCATTTGGTGTCGGAAGTGGAATAAAATCATTCCGATTTTTAAGGACGACACGGAGTGTATCCATACCCGAAGTCAACGCCAGCAAGAGAGACCAGAGACGATTTGGTGGTGCAACACCGCAGGCGACGGAAGTTAGCTGCAGGCCATGGAGGCCGGCCCGTCAGTAGCTCATACACCTGCAGCACCTGACTTACGTGCTCTGTTGGTGATAATGCAGGAGGAGGCTCAACAACAGGAGGAACAGGTCCGTCGGCCGGAAGAGCAGCTGCAGCGCGGACGGGAGGAACAAGCCCGTCCTTGGAAGAGCAGTTGCAGCGCGGATAGGAGTAACAAGCTAGTCGGTTGAAGGAGCAGGAGAAACAGACCCGCTGGCAGAAGGAACGGGCCCGTGGATAGAGCCATTGGTGAGTGCAGGTGGCAGGAAGCCTAATTCTCCCTCCCGCCTTAACATGGTAGTGGAATTAAGAGAAGATCTACCCCAGGAGGGTATCAAGAGAGCGAAGAAAAAGAGGGCAGTGTGGGAGCTCAGGCTGCCCCGCGTATTCTGAGGGAGGGGGCGCAATTCCGCTCGCGGCAAAAACTGCTCGGGGCAAGCTGAGCAACAATACCAAGGCGACCCCTGCCACGCTATCCGTGATTTTTTGCAACCTCATGGGACTTCGTTCCAACCTTAACGCTGTCCACTACCATCTGGAGACGGCGAAGCTGACCTTGCTCTTTTAACCGAGACTCAGGTGACCTCTCCGGCTGATAATTCATATCTCTCCTACCCGGGGTATAAATTAGGACATTCCTTTGTGCCACGGGCTGGAGTTTGCGTATACGTCAGAGAGGACATCTGTTTCAGACGCCTCGGCAGTCTTGAAGGTACGGTCCGGTCCGGAAGTACCTGTCCATCCTATGGCTGCGCATAGACAGCGACGACCATCCCCGCGTTTACGGGTGCCTATAAAGGTCCCGTAGCGGTGGATGTGGAAGATCATATACCTACCCTGTTGGACCTTCTATTGACCTCTCATCCGGACGGATATCGGTTTTCCGTCGACAACCCTTTAGGCTCCTCGGAGCATTGTCTTGTTTGGAGTGTGGTGCCACTCACGCTGAAATCGCAGTTGCATTCTGCAGGCTGCCGCCGTGTTTGGTACTATAGGTCGGCCGATTGGGATGCGATGCGGTTTTTTTGCATCTCACCCTTGGGTTTGCTTCTCGCCGGACGATCCTAGCGTTGTTGCTGATTCAATCAAGGTCCCTAGGTCGTATCGGTCCGGAAAAATACTAAACTACTGCCACCGCCCATCTATGAGTCAGGTAGACCAGAAGATCACCAGCTGATCGACCACAATGAAAAGCGTATTGGCGATCACTAATCAGCTGATGATCCTCAAGGTACCTCATGAGCTGACAGTTTATGTGTAATGGACTCCATTGTCTTGGAGAACAAGGAGGTGATGGCGATGGGCCTGTAGTTGGACGGATCTGAGCGGTCGCCTTTTTTAGGGATAGGGTGGACGAAAGCCGTCTTCCATGATTTTGGGACTACGCCTTAGAAGTAGGAGTACCGGAAAAAAACACGTTAAGACCAGTGCCAATTCTGGAGCACACGTCCTCAGCACAATTGGGGGGATACCGTCAGGCCCACTCGACTTGTGGATGTCCAGGTAGAGGAGTCCTTTGCGAACCGAGCGCTGTGTGAACCGCACCTCCGGCATGGAGCACTCACACTACAGGATAGTCGTCGGTGTACTCCCCCCGTCATCAAGAGTCGAGTTGGACGCAAAGAAAGAGCCTAGCAGATCAGCTTTCTCCTATGCAGCATGGGCCAGTGAGTCGTCCTCTCTGTGCAGAGATGATAGAGATGACTAACAGAAGTTCACCTTGGCGAGAGACCAGAATGCACGGGTTCCGGAAGGAAGGCGAACTAGCTTCTCGCCACTTCTGCCGATGTGCTCAGACCTTGGCAATGACTCTTTTAAAGGACCTGGAGGCGGAATTGTACTTATTTTCAAGAGCGCTGGTGTTTACATCTCGAGACGTTGATACATCAGCCCAGGCCCTGAAGCACTACTGCTTATAGCGTAATACTATTTTACAGGAGCGACTAAACCATGGCTGGGATCTGCCTCCGATGGGCATCACAAAGGACGGAATGAAAATTTCCATACCCTGAAATACCACATAAGCGACAGAATCAGCAATAACGCTAGGATCGTCCGGCGAGAAGCAAACCCAAGGGTGAGATGCAAAAAAACCGCATCGCATCCCAATCAAGAAAAGAGCTTA